GCACTGTGGCTCAAGTAGTAGAGTCCAAGCCCTGTGCTAAAGAGCTAAGGGACAGTACACAGGCCCAGAGTTCAAGCCCAGGACAGGCAAAAAATGAATAAATAAATAAATACCCAAAAACCTCTTAGTCAGGAGGCTGAGATCTGAAGATCACAGCTCAAGCAGGAAAGTCTATGACTCTTATCTCCAATAAACTATTCAAAAAAGCCAGTGGAATTGCAGCTCAAGAGCTAGAGCCTACCAGGCGAAGGCTCATGCCTTTATCCCAGCTCAGGAGTCTAAGATATGAGAGGATCATGGTTCAAAGCCAGCCCGGTCAGGAAAGTTCATGAGACTCTTATCTCCAATAAACCACTAGAAAACCAGAAGTGGTGCTGTGGCTCAAGCAGTAGAGGGCTCACCTAGAGCTGAAGAGCACAGGGACAGTGCCCAAGCCCAGAGTTCAAGCCCCAAGACCAAAAAAACAAAAAACAAAACGGAACAGAGGTAGAGTGCTGCCCTTGAGCTCAAAAAGGATTTGGGATGACACCCAAGCCCTGAGTTCGAGCCCCAGGCCCAGGAAGGGAAAAAACAAACAGAACTTAAAAAGCAAAAAAAGGTGGGTAGCCAGTGGCTCAAGCTTGTCATCCTAGCTACTCAGGAGGCTGAGATCTGAGCATCACTGTTCAAAGCCAGCCTGGGCAGCAAACTGTGAAACTCCAATTAACCACAAGAAAACCATAAGTGGTGCTGTGGCTCAAGTGGAAGAGCACTAGCTTCGAGCTGAAGAGCTCAGGGACAGCGCCCAGGCCCAGAGTTCAAGCTCCGTGATTGGCAAAAAAGAAAAAGAAAAAAGAAAGAAAAATAAGAGGGGCTGGGAAGATGGCTCAGTGGTAGAGCGCTTGTTTGCATGCACGAGGCCCTGGGTTCAATTCCTCAGCACCACATAAGAAAAAAGCCAGAAGTGACGCTGTGGCTCAAGTGTTAAAGTGCTAGCCTTAAGCTGAAGAGCTAAGGGACAGCACCCAGGCCCAGAGTTCAGGCCCCACGACCGGACCCCCCCAAAAAAAAAAGAAAAAGAAAAAGAAGACAAGCTTATACTTGATAAGATACTTTCAATGTTTTAGTGTGTCATATCTCCCAATAAAAGGCTAGATTTTATTCAATTTGAAACATATATGCCCTTTCAAAGTCAAACTTAGTATGTACAGTACATGAAACAAACAGACTTTACAACAAAAATGAATACATAAGCCAGGCACTGGTGGATCACACCTGGAATCCTAGCTACTCAGGAGGCTGAGATCTGAGGATTGGGGTTTGAAGCCAGCCTAGGCAGGAAAGTCTGTTAAGATTTTTTTTTTTTTGGCCAGTCCTGGGGGTGGAACTCAGGGCTAGGGCACAGTGCCTTAGCTTCTTTCTGTTTATGTGGTACTGAGGAACTGAACCCAAGGCTTCATGCATGCTAGGCAAGCATTCAACCACTTAGACACATTCCAGTTCCAGTGAGATTCTTATCTCCAATTAACCAGCAGAAAACTGGAAGTAACACTGTGGCTCAAAGTGGTAGAGTACTAGCCTTGAGAAAAAAGCTTAGGGGCAGGGCCAAGAACCTGAGTTCAAGTCCCAAGACTGACCAAAAAAAAAAAATTAACTCATATTGTATTATTACAATAAATGATAGGCAAGTGAACCTTGAGTTCAAGGCTAGACTCTCAAGAAAAGAAGAAGATGGGTGCCAGCAGCTCACTTCTATGATCCTAGCTACTCAGGAGGCTGACATCTGAGATCATGGTTCAAAGCCAGCCCTGGCAGAAAGAAGTCTAAGAGACTTTTATCTCCAACTAACCACAAAAAAACTGGAAATGGAGTTGTGGCTCAAGTTGTAGAGTGCTAGCTTTAAGCAAAAAAACCTCAAGAGACAGTGGGGCGAAGGTGGCTCATGCCTGTAATCCTAGTTATTCAAGAGGTTGACATCTGAGGGTTGCAGTTTGAAGCCAATCAAGTCTGGAAAGTCCATAAGACTCTTATCTCCATTTAACTATAAAAAAAAAAAAAGAGCTAGAAGGGGAGTTGTGGCTCAAGTGGTAGAGTGCTAGCCTTGAGCAGAAAAGCTCAGTGACAGTGCTCATGCACTGAGTTCAAAACAGAGAAAGAAAGAGGGCTGGGAAGGTAGCTCAGTGGTAGAGCGCTTGCCTTGCATGCATGAGGCCCTGGGTTCGATTCCCTAGCACCATATAGCAAAAAGAAAAAAGCCGGAAGTGGCACTGTGGCTCAAGTGGTAGAGCGCTGGCCTTGAGCTGAAGAGCTGAGGGACAGCACCCAGGCCCAGAGTTCAGGCCCCATGACTGGACCCCAAAAAAAAAAAATACAGAGAAAGAAAGAAAAAAGAAAAGGCAAGAGCCCAAATAACTAGCCTACTTTTATCTAAAATTAAAGATACATTAAAGTACATCTAATATCCAATCATACAATACATTAATTGATACCTAGAAGTTGTAAACGATCCTTAGCCATAACCAAATTAGTCATCATTTTAGCTTGAAGGCGTCTGGCTCTTTCACACTGTTCACCTAAAAAAACAAAGGAAGAATTAATTAAAATATCTACATATTCCCATTAGCATTTTTCAAAATAAAGTATTACTCTAATTACTTTCATGGAAAGTCAATATCTTTATAAAGAAATTAATAGGAAGCCGGGCACGGTGGCTCAATGCCTGTAATCTTAGCTACTCGGAGGCTGAGCTTAGAGGATCGTGGTTCAAAGCCAGAAAAGTCTGTGAGACACTTATCTCCCATAAACCATCAGAAAACTGGAAGTGGCACTGTGCCTCAAGTGGTAGAGCGCTCACCTTGAGCTGAAGAGCTCAGGGACAGCTCCCAGGCCCAGAGTTCAAGCCCCATGACCAAAAAAAAAAAGAAACAAAGCAAAGAAAAAAAGAAACAAAATAATAGGGGTTAGGGGAATATTTGAAGTAGTGCAGCACTTATCTAGCAAATACAAATTTCTGTATTCAATTTCTAGTACTGTGAAAAAATATCCATATACATAATTATTAGTTTCAATGGGTATATTCCAAAACTTGAAAGACAGAGGTAGCCCAGGCAACATAGTGAATTCAACTCAGCTTAGGATACAGAAAAGCCTATCTCAAAACAACAAAAAAAGCTACTTTCAAATAATTTCTCCTGGGGGGAAAAAAAACAACAAAGCACGATACAGGTAGCTTGTACCCGTAATCCTAGTTACCCAGGAGTTTGACACCTAAGGATCACAATTGAAGGTCAGCCTGGCAGATAAATCTGAGAGACTCTTATCTCCAATTTAAACAGCAAAATGCCCAAACTGGAGGTGTGGCTCAAGTGGTAGAGTGCCAGCCAACAGTGCATGGCTGTTTGCACAACAAAAGTTTAAGTTTCAATAGGGGGGGGGGCGGGAATGGGAAGGGATGGGAAGGGGAAACAAAGGAGGAGGCAACAATGCTTGATAAGAAATGTACTCATTACCTTGCTCATATAATTTTAACCCCTCTGTACAGTATTTTCACAATAAAAAAAAAGTTTAAGTTTTAAGCCCCAATATCATAACAACAACAACAACAATAGCGAGGTGCTGGTGGCTCACACCTGTAATCCTAGCTACTCTGGAGGCTGAGATCTGAGGATCATGGTTCAAAGCCAGCCTGGGCAGGAAAGTCCGTGAGACTCTTATCTCCAATAAACCACTGGAAAACCCGGAGTGGCTTGGTGGCTCAAGCCGTAGAGCGCTCGCCTTGAGCTGAGAGCACAGGGACAGTGCCCAAGCCCAGAGTTCAAGCCTCACGACCGACAAAAAAATAAACAGAACAAAACAAACAAAAAACAGAGAGAAAGAAACAGTGTCAGGTGCCAGGCATGGTAGTACATGCCTGCAATAACAGCACTTGGGAAGCAAAGCAAGAGGAGTTTGACTAGGAGGTCAAAACGGGCTACATAGTGAGTTCAAGAGTATACTGGCTATACGCCAGTGGCTCAGGCCTGTAATCCTACCTACTCAGGAGGCTGAGCTCTGAGGATCATGGTTCAAAGCCAGCCAGGGCAGAAAAGTCCTCTTTAAACTCTTTATCTCCAATTAACTACTCAAAAACCAGAAGTGAAGCTGTGACTAAAGTGAGAGAGCACTAGCCTTGTGCAAAAGCGCTCAGGGACAGAGTCCAGACCCTGAGTTCAAAACCTTGGAGGCTGAGATCAGAGGGTCATGGTTCAAAGCCAGCCTGGGCAGGAAAGTCCGTGAGACTCTTATCTCCAATAAAACACCGGAAAACTGGAAGTGGCACTGTGGCTCAAGTAGTAGAGTCCAAGCCCTG